GAGATACAGATGTTATAAGTGAGATTATTGAATACTTGTGGGTTGCCGCATGCATTAATCACTAAACACATTCTTAGAATTCTAATACCTATTTTAACAGTACTAGCACACAGGTGAGCCAGACCGATTTCAGCTCTGTATTTGTCAGTCTTCAATTGAGGTACGGGGACCTTGGCATGAGCTGGCACCTGGTCTGCCAGCATCACACAAGCATTAAGGCGCTCATCTGAGATGGAGGAAATCCCTGTGCAAATCCTTTCTCCTCATCAGGTGTGGGGAGGAGGAAAGAGGGGGAACTTGATCTCGGGTGTCCCACATCCCAGATGAGTGCTCTAACCACTTGACTAGAAGTTATTAGGGAGGCCCTCTTCTCCCTCATCATCTTCTGTGCAGCTAGGCAAGCTTTGAGCATACTTAGTGGACTGGACGCCATAGGTGAGATAGATGGGGCAATGCCTATCTCCTTCTGGTATGAGGATCCTGCTGGGGCTTAGGCATGGGATAGGCATCTAGGGGCCTACCTGAGGCAGCAGTGCGCATGCCCAATGGTTGTCACTCATGCACCAAGAGGATTTTTACAGCAAAATGTAGGCACCATGTGAGTTTAGGTACCTACAGATGTAGGTGGCAGTTGAGCAGAGGTTTTGTGGATTACAGTAGCACCTAAGTCCCTTTGTAGATCTGGACTACTGAACAGAATACCTGTGCTCTGTTATAGCAAGTATTAACTATTCCTTTGTGCTAAGACATTTTGTGAATACAGCTGCTTTTCATAATATGGTAAAGCCCAACTTTAAGCAGTGCTTGGGGGTTATTCATATTCTGCAATTGAAATGTCACACTGTTGTATAAACATCTCTTTGCAGAATGTTTCACAGGTGTAAGCTCTCTCATTGATTACTGCAGCAAAACTCTGGTGCCACAACAGACCCATCAGATGTCCTCATTAACATGCCAGCTGACACATTGTGCCAAATCTTGCTTGAGATGTTCATATCTGTAAAATAAACCAGATTTTGCCTAGTCTCTTAAAGTAGCATGTTCTATAATACTATATTGTGAGTTTCTCTGACTGTTGTATTGTATAATTGTTGCTTGTTGTGGGAGAGTGTTATTAATATTGTAACATATCTCAAATGTTGAAAAATCATGAGTTTTTTTTTAAATAAATGTTTTTGATCCTCTTTATTTGCCTTATAGGGTGCAAGGAGGGCCACATTTTCATGCTTTCCCCTGCAACCATGATGGCTAGAAACATACTTCTTTTTTAATGAAAGCTAAAATTCTCTTGTATTCACATGAATCCAGCAGCTGGGGCTTTAAGAAAAACACAAAAGCTTATGCTCAGATAAATTTGTTAGTCTCTAAGGTGCCACAAGTACTCCTTTTCTTTTTGTGGATACAGACTAATACGGCTGCTACTCTGAAATCTATCAATTATTGTGAGACTCACAATAAAATCATGAGTTGGCAATTCCGATGTTTCCTTTTACTGTAGTTTTGACATTTTAACTTTACTGACATCTGCGGAGCCCCTGTAACTGTACCCCCTTATACACTTGACCAAAAAGAAAAAGAAAGTTCATCTTTTTATGAATGACTGTTGTAATGGATTGTCAATACTATCACCCAAAGGATCCAGTGTCACACTTTGCTGTGTGCCGCTTATAGTGTTACACTCATTTGTGTAGTTTCATTTACATTAGTTTCTTGCTGTAGTTTGAAAAAGAAGAGAGCAGGAAAATAATCCCCTATCAGCAGGTCTGAGTGTGAGGAATTGTTCTGGTTTATCTCTAAAATTGACATGTAGACACTGTGGCCCCATCTCCTTTGTACCACTCTGGTAGCACAGAGGATGGAAAGTTGCCCTAAATAGGGCAGATAGGCAGAATCCCAGTGAAGTAGGTGGCTTTATGCCTCCCACTTCTGGTGTCAAACTGTTGGATCACATTAAAGAAGTTCTGTATTAAAATCACAAATGAGATTGATTCCCCATAGTTTAAATTCCAGGGTATTACTAATTAAGAGGTCTCTTGGTTTTTGGTACTGTTTCTCTCCCTCTCAGTTTCCACGGTATGCATCCGATGAAGTGAGCTGTAGCTCACGAAAGCTCATGCTCAAATAAATTGGTTAGTCTCTAAGGTGCCACAAGTACTCCTTTTCTTTTTGCAAGCTGCTAATTGTGTTAGTAGAGTCTGTTCTCAAAGCAATTCTTTGTAACAACAACTACTCACACTGAGAGAGACTAAAAGCAATACTCTGTAACAACAGAAACAGCACCCAGAGACTCCCCGCCCTTTTTGTTGTATTCATCTCGCTTTGTTAACAATTGTAATTAAAATAGAGATAGAGGATGTATGTGGATGGATTATCCACTTGGTGCGGATAATAACTGAATGATCAGGGAGGTGCCAGCCTAAGAATGCAGTGTCCATCGGCTGAAGAAGGCATCAAGTGGAAATAACCAGAGGACCCCCAGCAGGCAGACTGGAATCCACTCAACAGCCTCAAGAATGGGAGAACCAAAGAACAAGATAACATCTGGCGGCACGGAGCCGTCAGGACTGTGCCATCTGCTGATTGATTCAGCAACAGCATGATGAAGCAATTCCCATAGACTGGCAAGAAATTCCTATAAAAATGGACTCTAGAAAGTGAGCACTTTGGGGTCTGATTCTGCAAACCAACTTCCAGGAGCATCAGATGAGCATCTGACAAGGCCCTGCTCCCTCCTCATGTCCAGGCCACCTGGCCAGTGGCTTGGCATGAGGAACTCTAAGGCTGGTAACTATGATAACAACCTTGCAGAACAGTGTGTGTGTGTAAAAATATGAGATTGAATGGAATGTTATAGCTATAACTAACTGCTTACTATGATTCTTTCTATATTCACAATAAATGTGGCATTTTGCCTTTTCCCCTTTAATAAGATCCTGCTGGTTTTTATTTTATTGGTATAACAAAACTAGGTCTCACGTTGAGTGGAATTTGGCTGGAACCAGGGAACTGAACCCACATTACACTATTTTTAATACACATTGAGAGTTTTACACTATGCAGAAATCGGACACTTCAGGGTACTACTGACATGAGAATTCCTTCATGGTGAATTCCCACCCTCACCTTCCACACAAAGCCTGGGCATCTAAGCTCTGTGCAGGGAACTATGCTGGGTTTGGGAGGAAAGTAATCCCAACCCAACTCTATTTATAGCTATTGTTTCAGATGCTATTCTGGACTAGGGAATGAGACCCCTGGACAAAGTTTACATGAAGCCAATGATCTATGTAATTACAGATTCAGTGGGCATCTTCTTGACACTGTCCCAGCCATCCTTAAATCCTTCCTGCACTATGGTTAATATTTACCTTGCAAGGAGCTCAGCTTTGTTGCACAGAGGACTGAGTTTCCCTGCACAACTCCTACCCATCTCTGTATAACAGGACCACAATTCGGCTGTATTGGGGGGTTTCACCCTGAGTTCCCAAACTACAGTTGTTTTCACTTTAGCATACTGCTATTCAAAATAATGATTGTGTATGCAATAAATAAAATATATATTTTCAATACATGTTTCAATACATGTATTCAATACAATACACAGCTCAGATATTTAGTTTAGCTTTTGTCTGATAGATTTTTTGTTTTTATTCTAGATAAAGCGACAATGATTCTTGAACGCTATGCAGGGCAAGTTGTTTTATTTAACTGACGTCTATTAACTTTGCAATTAAATGCCTAGGTGCTCTAAAATATATCAAATTGAAGAGGAAAGGGGGAAAAGATTTCCTCCTGGTCCTTCTACAAAGATTCTTCTATTAAAACAACAACAACAAGCCATGCTTCCACATAGGTAAATCTTCGTATATGTTCCTACTTTCAGATGGTCAAATGTTCTCATAGTAAATAATACTTGCAGATTTTAATCCGATTTTTCATTGTGTATATGTACACAATGAACAATATATAGGCATTAAGGCAATCTAAGACAATCATTCCCTATATTACTATAGGTCCTGATTCAACAAGATACTTACCCATATGCCTAACTTCAGCACATGAGCAGTCAGTGGGGCTACTCACATGCTTAGACACCTTGCTGAACTGGTAATGGTCCTAATAAAAAAATCCAGACTTGTAGTCTCTTTTCAGGCAAGGTCATTAGGAAGTCAGTTGGAGTTTTTCTTGACTAAGGACTGCAGGATTGGGCCCAAAGTCTTTGCAGTGTTAATCCAGACGTGTAGGTAGGATTTTCAAATGTACCCAACACTGGGCTAACTTTGCTCCCATTGACATCAGTGGGAGCAGAGTTAGACCAATGCTGAGTGTTTCTGAAAATCCCCCACCTATAATTTTTGGTTACATGATATATTAAGGTTCCATTTATGCTGGGTTAATGAGTGCTTAAAACATGTTTTAATCAATGGTTAATCAATTGTTATAAAGTCCAACAGCTCAATAGGCTGGTTATAAGTGTGGCTTATAACTACCTACTGATATGTGCATAACCATCTATAAAATATTCTAATTATGTCTGTAACATGCTTAAAACATATGCTAATAATTTACAAACCCTTTAAAATCTTTGTAAATGGAACCTTAACATAAAGTGCTACTGTTCCTTTTTCCTTTCAATAATGCTCTTGTCTCTCTTTGTTCCAGTAGTCTCAATGCTCCGAAAATGTATTTATTTGTATGGCAGTAGCAACTAGAGGTCCCAGCCCCACTGCCCTATGCACTGTTCAAACACAACAAAAAGCCAGTCCCTATTCCGAATAGTTTGTGTTCTTATGATTATATCATGAATCTCTAGAAGCCTGGAGATCCGGACTCAAATCTCAACTCTGCGGCAGACCAGCTGTGTCACCGTGAGCAATTTACATTCTCAGGCCCAAAACGTGCCTAATTGAAGTCAATGGGCGTTAGGCACCTACATACCAGGATCCGAGCCTCTGCTCCTTAAATTCCACAAAGGCAAAACGTGGATAATTCCTACCTACCTCACAGGCGTGGTTGGATTTAATCCCGATTGTTGTTGGGAAAGTGCTTTGAGATCCCGGGATGGACGGTGCTGGAGAAGCGCCATTACAGCCAACCTCTGATTTTTAGGAAACTCTTTGAAAATCCGCTATCCAGGGTTTAGTTACCTTCCGAACTCCCCAACCCAGCCAGGCTGAAGCCCAGGGTAAATTCCTACAGAGCCCCTAAGCTTGACGGGAGCAGCGCTACGTCTCGGGGGGTTAGCTTCAGCCCCGCAAAGCCGCCGCTCCTCAGGGCCGAGCGCCACTTCGGCCGGGACCAGCTCAGCGGGCGGGACCGGCCTCGGCCCCCAGGGTCAACCTCAACCTGCCGCGCCACCCTGCAGGCCGGTCCACTGGGGGGCGCGTTGGGAGCGGGGCGACTCCGAACCTGCCCCACTGGGCTTTTGACGTCACCGTTGTTCAGTCCCTGCATTTGCCAGGGGCCCCTCGGCCCCTCCCCCCCGCAGCTGAGCGCCAGAAGCCCGCCCACCCTGAGGAGCCGGGGCCCGCGGACAGGTGCCTCTGGTCGCCTCCCAGCCCCTGCCGCGCCCGCCCTCGCAGCAGCGGCGGCGGCGGCGCTGCCTGGCCCCCCCAGTCGGAAGCGAGCGGGACGCCACAGGCGGCGGAGGAGGAAAAGTCAGGAACTGGGCTGCGGCCCCCCTCAGCCGGAGGAGCGCGGGAAAGCCAAGCCAAGCCCTGCCCTGCCCTGCCCAGCCCAGGGGGGAGGGCGCGGAGCCCTTCCCTCCATCCCCTAACACCCGCTCCGCGGCGGCAGCAGCCAGCCGGCACCTGGCCTCCGCTGGGGACGGGAGACGCACCTGCGGCGGCGGTAGATTCAGCAGCAGCGGCAGCAATCTGGGCACTTCGCGCCCCGCTTCTCCAGCTGCCGGTGCAAGCCCTGGCAGCCCCTCTGCAGCGCCTGCGGCCCCGGCACCTGCCCCCTTCTTCTTCTCTGTCCGATCGGCCGGTGACAGCCCCCGGCTGCACCTTTTCTTGAAGTCTGGGAGCCCCCACTCCACCCCTGCTCTTCCCTATGGGGATCCGAGAGTTTCCCAACGGCACGGCGAGGGGCAAGACCACCACAATGTGAGTATCACCCCCGGGGCGGCGCGGGCAGGGCGCTCCCTTCTGTTGCACCGGGAAGGGGACCAGGTACCTGCAGCGGCAGGAGGCGCCCAGCTGTGCTGCCCGCTATCCAACGCTCGGGTTCCCGGGGGGGATCTGAGGGTCAATCCCAATGGGGGGGGTCCCAGTCTTGTGGGGGAGGGGGGGCAACACGCGAAGTTCCCGGTACTCCCGCCCCATCTCCCCGGGAGGCCGGGAGCCAAACGCCGCAGGCTGCGCACCTGGGCAAGGGAGTTCTTCTTGGGGTGCTTTAGACAATGCTAAACTTGCGCTGGAGCCCTATGGTTTGCGGGGGGATCAGCTGTTTGTGGGGTCCGCGCTCAGCATTTTTGCCCCTTTCTCAATAGGCAGCGCTGGGGGGGGGGGGGGTGTCGGAGTGGCTGGCAGAGGGGCGCTTTCCCTTCTCCCGGCCCGGGCAGTGCCCAGCCCCTCTTGGCCCCTGTACACTTATTGGGGGGCGAAAGGGGCGCTCCCGTCCCTTCCTTCGCCAGGTCAGCGCTCGGCACCTCCCAGCACCTCAGCTGTTACCGGGCCGTGTTCACGTCCCTTTCCTGCCTTTCCAGTGGCATGAGGAGATCTCCAGATGTCAGCCCCAGGAGGCTGTCAGACATCAGCCCGCAGCTCCGGCAGCTCAAATACCTGGTGGTGGATGAGGCGATCAAAGAGGATTTGAAATGGTCCCGATCCGTGGAAGATCTCCCCAGTGCTTCCGTGGGGCTCACTCCCATCGAGGAAAGGATTCTGCGGATTACCGGGTATTATGGCTATCAGCCCTGGGCTGCCAGCTACAAAAGTAAGTCCCTTGTTTATTCCTTCTCTTCTTACCAGCGGTCGCGACACTCCTCCCTTTCCCCCTCAACTTTGTTTGCTGCAGCAGCAGCCTCTTCTCAAGCTGCCTGCAGGGTGTGGGGCAGGGCTTGCATTGCACTCTGGATTTAACCCCCTCTCCCCTTTTCTGTGGCAACCCCTCACATTGCTACTTCAATGTCCCAGCAGTTCGGAGGGATGGAAATTAACTGCCTAATTTTATTTACTACCCTCCTTTTTCCTAAACTGGATCATATCATCTTTGTCAGTTTTGTAGTTTCCTCTAAAATATTCTCTTTCCTTTATTTGGTAGGTTTAACTATGTTTACTTTATAAATTGCTGCTTTGCCCGTTGATGTTTGTGTCTGATGAGATTGATAGCTAATTCAATGCTGAACAGTAGAAAAAGTTGCCCATACTCTGACTGTGTTTGAGGTGGCACTAGGTGGTGGCATTGTGATCAGTTCAATACAGATTAGTGTGAGATTTAATCATTTGAACTTTCTCGTTATTAGGAAAAATGCTGGTGATTATTGAAAACATGTTAGCTTTGGGCAAAGGGATTTCAGTTTAGTGCTGGAACTCAAGACAAATGTGAACATTACAAACGGTTGCTGTGGCATAACATCGTTAAGTAAATCATTACTTTACATGTAGGTTAAAGTTTGCATCTTTTATACTGAAAATGATATTTTATCACTTTATTAAAATGTCTAAGTTGAAAGATTTAAAGAAATGCTTTCATTCTCGGCTAAGGGATTTAGCACATATAGTATTAATTTTTTGCGTAAAATCATGCTCTGAGTGATTTGGTGTGAATCATATTAAATTCAGTATTAAAAATATTGCTCTCTGTGTTGCTGATGCCATGAGTGAAGTATAATGATCAGCTTATTTGTGACAATTGCTTGGGTGCACTGGAGCTTTTTAAACCTGTTCTAGTTTTTGAAAGTAATATATTATTCAATATCCTCTCCCTACTATCTTGAAGGATCATTGTGTTTTCGCAGGAATTAAACTTTTCCCTGAATTAAAATATATTTACCCTTTCCAACACAGCTTCCTGTCTGCATGTTCATAAACTTTGGTGAGAAACTTATCATAGTGTATAGGGATGTAAAGCTGGGTTTCTCTTCATACGCTGTGATGATATCTTGAAAAGCTTTAATAAACATTGTGGAAATATTCATACTTCTATAACATATAGTTGTATAACTTGTGTAACATTGGTCTTCCATTGTTCATCATTACCAAAGATGACTGCATGTAGTAACAGTTTTTAAGAATTCATTTGCTTTTGTGTGGAAGTCAATACTGTTCAGAACATCACAGTTTTCTGTTGTAAAAATATTATTCTACTAGAGGATCATGATTTTGGTGGAAAACTGGTTTTGACAAAAGAAGTCTTTGTTCACTGTATGCATTTCTAATGCATTCACCCTTGGATTATCTGATTGCCAATGCACTTAATAATAAAGGGGAAAGATACAAAAAATATGTTATACTTTATTTTTCTGTTTTTCATGAGCCATCAGCAACTCATTAAAACACTATTGCAGGATGTTAGAATATGAATTAGCAGATAAGGTCATAATAGTTTTTGTGTAAAACCAGTTTATTGTATTTTTCTATGGTTATTACTATTCTGAGAATCTGATTCTGCTGCCCTTACTCACAGGGAGTTGTACCTTTCTTCAAGAGTAGTCCCATAGACTTCATTGGGACCATTCATCTATGCAAAGTTATTGGATCCTGTGATCAGACCATGTATGGGTGCCAACTTCTGAGTTGGATATTAATGTTCCTGTCTGACACCATGACTAATAGTCCAATTGAATTCATGGTGAGTTACTGCGGATGATCCTTCTAAAATAGTAAAAGTCATTTTCAGCTGCTCAGTTATAATCTATTGTTGACATTTATAACTCCACCGTAAAAGTTAATTGTGAGCCAAAACTTGGCCTTCAAAGGTGTGTTCTCCATAGCAATTTAAAAAAATAACAAATGACACCTTAGAATTATAATGGTGGGAAATAAATATACAACTTTTCTGAGGATTTTAAAAAAAAATCTACATCAGAATAATTTTACCTATGATGTGAACCCATTTCACAAACTAAAAAGATAACAACCATATTTTATAAGTCTGTTGATAGAAATGTAGAAAAGATTATTTACATCTCTAGCGAGTGTTACTTGGCATGACTCCAAGGAAGCTACTTTAATTTACATCAGCAGGGGATGTGGCCGAATGCATGTGAGTTAGATAAATCAGCAAAACTAGAAGGCTGGTTTTATATCAACACTCGGAAAACATTTTTAAAAACTCCTTTATTTTGGCTCATGGAAGTGGTCATGAGATAAGGAGCCTTTTACATTTTAAGTGGCCAGGTTTAATCAGACTAGGTCAGTGGTTTTCAAACTTTTGTATTGGTGACCCCTTTCACATAGCAAGCATCTGACTGCGACCCCCCTTTATAAATTAAAAACACTTTTTTATATATTTAACACCATTATAAATGCTGGAAGCAAAGCGGGGGTTTGGGTGGAGGCTGACAGCTTGCAACCCCCCATGTAATAACCTCGCGACCGCCTGAGGGGTCCCAACCCCCAGTTTGAAAACCCCTGGACTACATACTGTGAACAAAAATAATTTACATTAAAATTAAATTGTAAACTCTTTGGGTAGGAATCCTGTCTTCTTATTATATATGTCTGTAAAAAGTCTAGATACTGTTTGCACCATATAAATAATAATGAAGATAATGAATTGAGTGTGGGTGCTCTGTAGGAAACTAGTTGATGATCGAGTTCTTAGCTTGTGAATATATAAATCAGATTTCATTTCCCTGCAGCCCCTTTTAAGCCACCTCCACAACCAATGACATTTTTGTTACTGAAAGTCTAGCATCTAGGACCAGATTGTGCACCTGTTGCTTTTAATAGTAAGCAATTCCTCATGTTATTATTTAGACTCATATAGTTTATCTAAGGGTATGTCTACACTACGAAATTAGGTCGAGTATATAGAAATTGTTTTTTTAGAAATTGTTTTATATTTATATTTGTGTCCCCACACAAAATGCTCTAAATGCATTAAGTGCATTAACTCGGCGTAGTGCTTCCACAGTACCGAGGCTAACGTCGACTTCCGGAGTGTTGCACTGTGGGTAGCTATCCCACAGTTCCCGCAGTCTCCGCTGTCCACTGGAATTTTGGGTTGAGATCCCAATGCCTGATGGGGCAAAAAACATTGTTGCGGGTGGTTCTGGGTACATGTCATCAGGCCCTCCCTCCCTCCCTCCCTCTGTAAAAGCAACGGCAGACAATTGTTTCGTGACTTTTTTTCCTGAGTTACCTGTGCAGATGCCATACCATGGAAAGCATGGAGCCCGCTCAGCTCATTGTCACCGTATGTCTCCTGGGTGCTGGCAGACGTGGTACTGCATTGCTACACAGCAGGAGCAACCCATTGCCTTGTGGCAGCA